GCCCCGACTGCCTCCCACGAACCCTGATCCCAAGGCGCGCCTTATCCCAAACCGGGAGCACTCCCTGCTCCAGCTGAAATGCCCTTGGGCCCCAGGACCAGCAGGGGTGCTGGAGGCGGCAGGTGTACCCCTCTCCCAGGTGAGCCAGGGGCGCAAGAGGACGCATCGGGGAATATCTTTCCACCCTCCCCTGGCCCCTGAGCTAAGCCCCGTCCTCTAATGAAGCCCTCAGCGGCGTCCCTCCCAACCACTCGCTGACCACGTGATTGCTATCAGACAGCGTCCATCCTCGGGGCCAGGGACGCAGGAAACGCACTCCATCCCACCCCCCAGGTGCTGCGGGAAGTCAGTTCGCTTTTTCCCTCCCAGATTGTGCGTGTTATTCACAAGCTTGGCGGGCAGGATCCTCTCTACCTGTGCCCCAGGGCCCGCTGCTGCATCCTCTGGGACCGGGTTGAGAAGCAGACCCGGAGGGCTCAGAACCCACCCCCTGAAAACATCTCCTAGACCAGCGCCGGGCTTTCCCGCGGCTTCTCACCCAGCCGCCTCTACATCTCGCACATCCACTTTCAATATTTACTTCTTAGTTTCCCCCCTTGCCCCCATGGTTGAGGTTTCTACTAGATACTAGGGAGGGGAGGTGTGATGTTTTCCGTTCCGCAGAAGAGGAAACGGAGGCTGTGAGAGGCTGGTTGGTGTTCTTTTTTCTAGATCCACGGAGCTGTGTGTCTGCAGGCCAGTCACCTACCCTCTCTGAACCTCAGCTTCCTGCAGGACTGTTGGGAAATGGATGGAAAACCCTCATGACCGTACACAGTGGGCACTCTCATATCTATTTATTTATTTATTTCCTTCCTCACCCAAGGCAGGGAGAGAGCCAGAGAGAGAGAATCCAGATTGCGGGATTCTTGGAACAGTGCTCTCTCTGTTGTACCCCAAGCCCGTGTTTTCTGTTTCTCTCTGTCCTCACCATCCCCTCCCACTTCCTTGCTACTTCCAGGTTTTGTTCCTGTGCTTTTACCTCTTTCCCTCTCTTAGAGTACCTGGGAGTCCTGGAGCCCCCCGGAAATCCTGGGAAGGTTCCTGGCGCTCACACTTAGCCTAAAGCCCTTGGACGGCTCTCAAAGCAGCACTGTCTCTATTCTCAGGTCTAGGACCAGGTCAGGTGACTGCGAGATCTGCTGACAGTCACGGCTGAGCCAGGCAGAAAGGAAAATTTGGAGATTGCTTGGTCCGGACATTGAAGATACTCCCCACCCCACCGTCTGGTTCCACACAAAATATACTCATCATTCCTCGGTGGCTGCAGCGCCGTTGAAATGCAGCGTC